ACTTCTTTCACTTGAATAACTATATTAACAACCGGTGGGCACTAATGCTAAAATAGGTGAAATGATAACTTAAAATAGGTTTGAACAGGCTGGCTTCACTTCACTGTCAAAAGAATTATCAGTTCCATTCCAAATATTGAATCACTCAACTCGGTTATTAATAGTACTTATGATTTGCCGTATCATGCTCAAGAAGTAAGAATGTTCATGAGGTAACATCTCGTTCACGAGAATATTAGTGGAGCGCTTTAAAAAAAATCCAAGCGAATATTAATCTTGGAGACTGAGAGAGGTTCCACTTGCGATGAACTGATCCACCCGCGGTAAGCTGGGAAATGCCAATCGAATGCATCATTACGTGCAGTCATTGAAAAGTTTCCTTTGCAGACAGAACAATTCGACTGTTATGCTATTATTTATCAGTTACCAAATCGCTACGTGACTCTGTTGGACAGGAACAAAATCCACATGATGATGGGCGAGGACATCTGCAGTTAGAAACATCACCTGCGAATCGTATTTATATTTTTCTGCAAACAATTCCAGTATTTCTTTGGACACCGTTGTTGTTAGTACTATTGTTGTTGTTATTTCTGTTGCTGCGGCTGCTGAGTGATAACCATGAAATATTGAGTAAGCATGACGTGATTCCATTGAATTCATCGAGAACACACTTTTGCCCGTGGTTTAGTTACGCACTGCTCTATTCAAAGTTTTATTTAATGTGGCTTTTAACCCACGCAACTCGATTATCATTCTAAGTGATACATGATAGTGATGACTAGATTGGATTTGATTCGATTCTAGGGCGAATTTCGTCCAGTAAAGAGCGAATGAAGAGTTAACTGAAAGCCCGGGAAGCACTGGACAGTATTTTCGACCTGGTTAAGTTTTATTAGCAGTGCGAACCCACCGACTCAACTGGGGATCGAGCCCGGGACCTCACAGGCAGAACGCAAGCATGCTACCCACTGGGCCACCAATCAGGTGATCATTTCATTTTAACTGTGTACGACATACCACAACCCATCTTTGCAACCTTGTGACGGGCATCATACCTGTGAGACCTCCGGTTCAATCCCCGGTTGGGTCAGTGGATTCTCATTGTTGATGAAACTTAGCAAGATCTAAACAACTGTTCAGTGCTTTCAAGCTTTTCAGTTCCCGCTTCATTTACACGATGAATTCATTGCATATAATCAAATCAAATCATCCAACACACAAATACTTTGTATAATTTGACTGGCGTTATTTTCCTAATTTGAAGTTTTAGGACATGCTTTTCCCATAGAATAATTATTTGTATCATGAAAATGCCATTTGGTTGGTTTGGTTACCTGAAATTTCAGGGTAAAATCTGATGGCTAGTAATGTTAATTGATACAGTAAATCTTTTTTGGATGTGCAGTACATCTAATGATCAAACACGCACACTTGGAGCCGATGCACAACTTCTTCAGCATAAATGTACGACTGAAAGCACAGTGCGTCTGCGCGAATTTCTTGACTGTTTATCGCTGATAGTCTGTCAGAGAAAATTAGCATCGATTTCATTGCCACAGTTATGCAATATAATTTGAAATAAAAACCGATTACTACAATCAACTGAATAGTGATATAATTTAGGCTTTTCTTTGGAGGAACTACGCAAAATAACTGAACTATCAGTTGCCATTTGTATCCGGTTATTTGAGACCGATTATTAAGCTGGACTTTCGTTAGTCACCAGGCGGTGGTGACCTAGTGGTAACGACACCAATTATCACCTCGGAGGACACGTGTTCGAATCCCACCACCACCGCTTGTCTTTCCCTATGTTGTGTTGAATGACAGCCCATTGATTGGCCGCTTCCCCTTCCTGAAAATTGCACCTTAGCATATTCCATAAAAGGCAGTAAATTAAAATTGAAATTAAATGAAAACTGTATTGCTTGAGCGGTGCCCGTCATTTATGCGCACCAGTCCTTCAGACTCAAATGGAGCTGATCCCCGAGCACCACCGGTAATCTTGGGCGGTGATAGTCAAGTGATCAGAGTCCCATCCTGTTCTCCTTAGGACGTGTGTTTAAATCCCACCACCACCCAGCCTCACATCTATTTGTCTCCCCGAGGCAGCGCCTAAGTGGCTGCAGCATGACCTCTTTCCTGAAAACTGTGCATTGGTATATTATATATAAGGAGGTAAAAAGATTTTAAGATAAATATCGATATTGACAAAGCATTGAAAATTGGTTCTCGTAGCTCGCGTGAACTGCATTCCATTTCACATGTTCACTGAGCTTGGCAATTTGTATGCAAACGTTTTATCACCAGCCGAGGTGACATCACAAGCACTGATGATGTCCCCTTGGCTGGTGATTAAACGTTTGCAAACAAATTGCCAAGCTCGGCGAACAGGCGAAATGGAATAATTATCGATGTTTCACGGTATGACACTACCCGTATAATATCATCATACAAAAGCCGGTTTGACTAAGCTGTACATTTCTCGCCTAACTATTTCGGTCTCCATGACGGAACAGTAAAAGGAACCAGTTGAATGCAGCTTTTCTGTCGTCCGGTTCAATATCACGCCTAACCTATCGGGGCCTTATATGATTCACCACTCCAAGTCCAGGGGCTTCGGCTACCGGTTTCCATCACTGAACAGCAGGTCCTCGTGACTATGGGGTTTACCCCGTCTGCTGTTCAGCACAGGAAAAGTGTGTAATAAATAAGTTGATAAAAACCTCCCGATGCCATTAAACTGTGTGATATCGAACAAAAGTCGATATCCAGTGTTTCACTGGATGCCAAAGATGAGGACCACGTCCAGAACAACAATAATACTGGTAAAAGTTGCTGCTTTGAAAAATTGATATAAGTTGAAATTGATGAAGTATAGCAATTCGCGAGTTTTTTCTTCTTTTAAGCACATTGTGTACTTTTTGAGTGTTACTTTACAAGGAAATCACTTCGGAGACACTCGGGCGGGGAACACACTATTGCACAACTCCTGGATCTGTGTACGCGAACCGATTGTGCATCGCGAGTACAGTGGTGGTTGTTCCCATCTCTCAGGTCGGTCGTTGTGGTCAGAAGTTAATCGACTAAACACGGGTGTATCCACACTCTCTCTCACACACACTCATATACACATCCAGTGGTCTGCGCCTCGTATTCCCTCGTCACTGTTAGGACTGTCTTGGACTAAATCAACTGGAGGCCAAAAGCACGACCACTAGCACAGTTTTAGCCATTCTTGCTGCCAATACCGTTACCACTACCACTGCTATCAGCACTGCTGCTGCCGAGGTTGCTGTCACTACTACTGTTGCTGCTGTTGGGACCAGAAATCGAAACCAGTCCCGTATATCATTATGTTCACTCACCCGTACTCATTCCCATTCCACCGACCCGCGAGTCTGAATGTCGTACACAGTTGTGTGTGTGTGTGTCTGTGTACACACGCACCAACATACGAAAACGAGTTTGCCTTTAGATTCTCTTCTCAATTTGTGTGTGTGTGTGTGTGTGTATGTATGTATGTATGTACAAACACGGAGCAATCTGTGCCTGACCGAGCGTGACAAATGAAGTCTTGCAGAAATCCAACTCAGTTCTATTTTCGATGCCGGGTCTGAGTGTGGTGTTTGCATTAGGAGGTGGAGAGGAAGGGAATTCCGAGAACACACAGGCATGCCTGTTCACAAAAGACCATGGAGTTCTAAAGCAAACCGTCGGTTGAGCAGCAACAAAAATCTGTACAGACAGGAACACAACCGCGGTGGATGCATGTCAAATCAAACCACGGTAACTTCTGTGAGCAAGTGTGTCCAGGCATCTTTGTATGCGAGTATGTGTTCCGGTGTTTGTATGATGGCCAAAGCACCTGTACGGGTGTGAAGCGAAACGAATGGGCTGAAGAAGCAGCTCGAGTTGGTTCGACATCGTGGCTACAGGGATCGTTGAGGCGGCGGTGGCTGTGGCGTTAAATCTGAGTGATTCAATGATGCTCTTGTCACAACGGACCTGTGAAGCTACAATCTTAAAGAGGTTCGATGTATGTGTGTTTGTGTTGTTTTGGTGGCAACGAGTATTCAGTCT